TGTATCATTTGTTTCTGTACCCTATAAAAAGACTTAACCACCCCCCTTTAATAAATGCTTTTTGCTTTGCCTGAATTGCTGGGTGGTTTGTATTTTTGGGTAGGCTAAGAAGCTACCTTTGCAAAGGTAAAATTATTTTTTCTCCCAAATTCACAGAATAGGTCTTCAGCTCCATGCCACTCAGGGTGCCTGAGTTTTAAAGGCAACAGATTCTCGGCTAATCACAGGTAGAATTTGGTTAACAACGGCAACAGGGAGTGCCAGGATTGCCATTGCTAAGCGATGTGGTCATTTGATGTTGCACTTTATGACTGCATCACTTAGTGACATAAATTCCAGTCCCAATTGTGGTCATAAGTCAAGGACTACCTGTATATGCTTTTCAAATCTCCATTTCAAAACTCCAGAGAATCAATAGACAGCAGCAGAGTTTTGTCTCTTTGCTGCCATCACTTGGTCATCTGGATATTTGCAACTCAGGTCTGGCAGCTCTAATCTTTGAAATCTTTGCTCAAAATGATACCTTAACATTAGTAGCAATCAGCTATTTTTAATATTGTCAGAATGTTCAGCTATTGTTCTTAATATTGTCCCTGGGATATTTTTCACAAACTGAACAGAAACCAAGGTTTCATTTCATACTATGGCTGTTTTGGCATAATACACAGATCCACAAATGTAGCCAACTGCATTTCAGCTTATACTGTTGTATTAAGCAAACTCAGATCATGTTTATAGATCTGTGTGTCTTACAAACCCAGGACATGTGACAATCAGTTTATCAGCGTAATGTATCACTTCTATGAAGTACATAGTATTATTAATGGCCAATATCCATGATAGACCAATGCTTTTATTAAAAAGCAAAATATTTGAGTAAAAAAAAGAAGGCACGGAGAAGAAACAAGGAAGTCTAAAAATTAAGCCAGATGATTCAGCCAGAAGTCTGAATTTCAGAGATGGAAACTGTAGATTGAATGTGTTAGTTCTTAGAAGGTGTTACTGATATGAAGTTACATCTAGCATTCAGGGACAGAATAATGGAAGACATCCCCAACTCTGAAACAGAAATGCAGACAATCCTCAGATAGCCTCCTTTTGCCATCTGAAAAACGCAATGACTGCGTCATCCACATCATGCTCTCTTAACCATGGTTTATTGGGCCCAATTTCATGCATTACCTGAACTAATTGACTTCATGGTGGGATCAGGCAACAGTAGGCTAAAACAGAGTCGGCCAGTTTGTGTTTCAGTGTGTTGTGCACACCTAGCCACAGGCTCCTGATTTGACAGAGGGTTGAGCTAAATACAACCTAATCTCTCCACCTTTTGGAAATTCTCAGGGACTATTGCTAACTTACATCCTTTCCTTCTACTAAACCTTGTCCCAACACTTTAGCTTCTGTCTCAGGACCATACTTAATGCAGCTAATGAAGAGCGAAATCATCAGAGAATGACAAACGTGTTAGTTTTGCCACAAGTTTCTTCCTGTTTTTTTCCTTTGGCTTTGCAGGATGGGAAAAAATGTCATATCCATAGAGCACATGAGAGGGCGCTCGCATCGTTTTCTTGCAGTCTGTTGCTGATTCCCAAGCTGGAACAGATTTATCGGTGGCTTTGCTTCCGGAAAGGCGATGGTACCAGTGCCCTCCCCTTTGAAACCTAGCGCAACTTGGTTTCGACTTCCCTTTAGTTCAGTGTTTCTCAACCTTGGCCACTTTAAGACGGGTGGACTTCAACTCCCAGAATTCCCCAGCCAGCAAGGCCAAGGTTGAGAAACACTGCTTTAGTTAAAGAACCAGGAAGTCTCTGCAGCAGAACTGGAATAAGGCAGCCAGCAGGCAAGTAGCGTTTTATTTATTTAAATCGCATTCTCGTTTGGATTTTCAAACAAATCCGGACAGGAGGAACAGTATTTTAACAGGATCTCCTCACAATTTGCTGTACCTGAAGCGATGCTTTGTCTGTGGATTGTGCTACGGTAGGACCTGTACCTTCAACAGTGGAATGACAAGCAGCAATTTCACCAGGCAAAATGTAGCCTCTGCAAGGCAGGGAAGTTCATGCAGAATTTATGCGTGATCTATAGGAGTTAAAGGCACACGAGCACTAGATAAGAGTGGGAACAACACCACGCAAGGCGAAAGGATCTTGTCCCCTTTCAGATCATGGTGGTTTTTCTTCTAGTTAGTTGCTAGAACCTCTCCTCAATAAACTATATGACTATGACCATTTTAAATAAAAAGAACGCAAAGTTCATTCATATTCTGATTAACATACACATCTGTATTATTACTAATTAGTACACATGCCTGTTACGTACACTGAAGAATATAAATATACAGATAATATCACTGCAACAAAGCTTAATAAATGTATTTAGGAACCACGAAGCTTACGTTTAATTCCTCTGGAATCCAACATAATGTTTAATCTACATTATGTATTTCCATGTTTGCAGAAATAATCCACTTCAGCCTTGGGCAATAATTATCTCAAATCAGAATGGTTGTTTTTGCATAACACTAATTTTTGTATGACTTTAGATAAACATAAATAATGGTTTGGGGTATGATAAGCTTTGAACTGCCCCACCTTATATGCTGACACACCAAAAAAACCCTCTACAAAATGACAATTAAGTCTGGCCCAGGGCTTCATTGTGTGAAAAACACTGTTAAGCATATTTTGGTGAAACATCCTCTTCCACTCCCTCCCCCCCCCCATGTACTCTGATCGTTATTGGCATGAGTATGCCGACATGATAGCATCTTGCATGCTAAAAAAAGCATTGAGTTGGACAAAATTAAGGCCATATAACAATTTCATAGCATTGCTTAAAGTGTTCCCTAAAGTGTATTCTGGGATGTGTTCGCCCACAGTTTTTTTTTCCTTTCAAATAGCAATCCTAAAGATACATATTTGCCTTAAAGTAAATTGTTCCATTCAGTGTGACTTCTGAGTAGATAAGATTTACTTTCAGAAATAGCATAGAATTTTCTGCATGATTACTCACAAGTAAGTGGCACTAGAATTAGTAGGGATTGGCCTCCTAGGAATTGTGCAGATGAAGCTTAGGACATTTGAAAATCTGAGAAAGGACTCAATTCTGAATGTCCTAAGGCATATAATGTTTGCTCTTGTTAATCAGATTTTAAATGGGCCTTGAAATCCATTTTATTTTACTATTAAAATGCGCTGGATTGGTTTATATTGTTGATACCTAATTCAGATTAGTTAAATTATTAGACTTTCTCTTCTGGACTGTAGAATGCTTTAAACTGCTTTATTTTATAATCTGAATGCATAGATAGTTTCAGTAATTTTTATTTCAAATTTGCATAAAAGCTGCTTTGTTGGACTTTGGACCTGAAATTGACATAGACATATTAGAAATAATTATTTATTAAGTAGCAATATTGGGAAGATATTTTCTAGAAATATAACAATCTAATATTTGTTCATTTTCCTCACAAGGTTGTTCTCTCTATAAGCTTTTCTGTTGGATTCATATATGACATGAAGCTGAAAACAAACAAACCACATTATAACTCAATGTCTTGTGTGAATTTGCCAGTTGTGCTTAATTCAGTAAACCATAGTTAAGAAAACCCTAATTTATTCCATGGTGTATGACAAACCTCTATTTTAATGTACTTTTGCATTTTCTTTTATTCTTTTACTTGTTGCTATGGTTACACTTATTCTTTAACTCTCTGGAAGGGGAATCAATTTATTTATTAATATTTTTATTCCTCCTGCCTGCCAGTAAGATACCAAGTCAGTATGTAACAAAGGAATTTGAAAAGTAAAACTATAAACACATAAAAGCTAGCAATCAAACCATGATAACAGTCTAGGCTAAAAAACTAATAAGCCATCAGTGAATAGAGAATGTGCTTTGAATGCAGAAACTTGCAGTTTCAATCCCTTGCATCTTCATGTAGCTGTGGAAAAAAAAACTTGACTAAAACTAGCAATGCCATCCTGGATAGGCTTAAACATTGAACTATGTAATCAATATTGTGGCACATTTGTGATTTAACACATGTGTATCAGCTGCTTTTATTCACTACTCATAAACTACACCAGACCCATCCTGTAGGGGATGGAGATTAAAGATATCCAGGACTAGAAGGCTTAGAAACTCCCAACAGCCCTGAGATAAGATCCAGGTACTTTGGGAGGGCCACATCTGGACAGCTAGGTGGTCAGTGCACAAGCAGCAGCCTGTAAAAAGTAAAGAGGATGGCCTTGAGGAGAAAGGGGAGAACTGTTACCAAAGTGATGAGAAATAGAAGTAGTCTAGTCTTCCAGGGAATTTATTTCTTGGTATGGTCTGCTTTGTAGGGCTGACCAGCCCTAGCTTGTCAGAATGGTCCAATTCTACACTTACATCCAGCTATCTCTAAGGCAATGCTCCCCATCATTGTGAGAGTCTTACATACAATCATATCTACCCTTCCTCTTCTGCCTTGGTGTGATAGTTGTTGTAGGACCTGAAAACTGGCTGAGCAGATTGCAGGTCTACATCCCTGTCACTCTCCAGCTAGGTCTCAATAATGCATAAATCTGTGGAATTATCTATCACCATATTATGTTAGGATGTGGTCTTATTGTACCCAGACCTGGCATTTACCAGCAGTGGCTAGAGATCAAGGTGCCCACCAGTTCAGCTCCCTGGGCCCAGAAAAAGAGACCTGCCCTAACATGCTTCAGCCTTCTCCCCTCACTATATCTCCTGCCTGTCACAGTCCCATTGTGAACCCCAGTACTTCATACCAACACTCACCTCACCAGTATTGGCCACTATGGACAAGACACTTCTGCCAGGCTAGTCTATGACATTCACAGCCACTCTACTGCCAACTAATGTAACAACTATTCTAACCAACTTACCTTTTAAATACTGAACCTTCAGATCAATTCAAGGGAGCCCTACCCAACTGAGTGATAATAATGCTAGATTCCACTCCCCTGTTCTCTCACTGTAGGTGGGGAGTCTTCATCATCATTTTGCAGCTGTAACCTGGAGAATACATTATAACAGTATCTCTAAAATCTGGCTTTGAGTCTCCTGAGTTGGTCAGTCTCTTATCTCACTTCAGTGTGGCTCCTGGAACATCTCATAATAAGTAAGTCCTGTGGCTGAATAGTCCATTTTAGTTGATAAATTTTCTCTAATGTTCAGAAGGGTAGCCAAATTTTGCTCAGTTGCTATTTGTATTCATTGTTTAATATTGTAGCTACTATTGCAAACATTTTATGTATCTGGTTGAACTTGAATTCAGATTTTTATTTTATTTATATTTATGTTTTAAGCATTCTTGGTCTTTGAGTGTAAATAATGATAATCACAAAGCCAGCCATGTTGCAAACATGTATTGAGAACATATTGAAGCTTTCCCCTACTGGGCACACTCAGGGTAGAACTACAAGCCCAAGTCATCATGGCCCAAAACAATTAAAAAAAAAAAAATCCCTGCTGGAACCATTCTGATTTGAATTTTGCTTTGCAGGATGACAATTGCAATTTTTGCCAGCTGTGCATTCTTTCTGAGAATAAAAAAGTTAACAATTCTGGAAAAGAACAAACTGAAGAGATGCATTAAGGAAAATGGTGGGCAGATTGCATTTGGGTTAAATCAAGAGGTATGTTTAACCTTATTTCTATGAGTCTTTGGCAGGGAAAGCAGCAAACTCAAGAAAGGAGTTTCAGTGTAGAATGAAACCCAGTTGGATAAATGGAAAAATATTTCTATCAGTGAATGGTAAATATGACCAATTTAGTTTGGGTTCTCTGCCTTCTGTATGTAATAGAATAGATTTTATGTCATAGACTCCAACGTGCTCCTTCCAGGGTGTCAAGGCTGCAACATCTAGAATTATAGGCAGGATGGGAAAACAGAACTAAGCCTATTCTGATATAATAGCAAACCATGATTTACTGTTACAGAAATGAAGAAATTTGAATTTTTGTAGGAGTTACATAGGAAATGTAAAGCTTCTTTGTATACTATATATTATGAGAAAAGTATCTTTGAACAAGTTATTGACATTATGACACAGATTAATTGTTTTGATACACAAACAGTATATTTTTAAATAGAGACCTCTACTAGAAAAGCTGCAATTCAAAACATATGTTTTTGATATGGGGTTTATTTCTTAGACTAGGAAGAAGAAAGTAATGGTGACTCACTTGGGTACTTTTGGCAAGAAAACTTCAGACATGGCTCAAAGGGAGATTTTACTCCTTTCTGAGAAAAACAGATAAAGAGATGCACTAAATTCTATAAATGGAATAGATTGACAGTGAGAAAGAAAGCAGTTAAAAATGATTAAAATTATGTCCAATTATTTAAAAAACACCTGAAACCTCTGGTTTTGGGCAAGCATGCAATACATGGGTCAGTAAGGGTAATGCTCCATGTCATGAATTGGGTCCTAATGTAATTTTAGTGCACTCATGTTGTCACTGATGATGCTGATGCGCTCAGCCCCAGTCATCTGAAAACCATCCAGAAATATGAACTGCCTGTGGTAAATGTTGATTTCATATGGGATTCAATCAAAGAAAGAAGACTTTTACAGTTGGAAAACTATGAGCTATCCCAAACAGTGCCCTGTGAAACAGGTAAGGAAACTTCTTTTGAATGAGTGACATTTTATTCAAAAGTATTTCCAGCTATACAAGTAATCCAAAAGTATTTTGAACTATATGACAGGTAGGTGAACTTCTCCCCATTTTATGAGAATATGAAGTTAGAATTTCAGTGGAATCTTCCCAGTCTAAGACATTTTTCCACAAGAACCAAAACAGGATATGCCGCCCTCTCACTGTCACAGCAGCATCATAAGCACCCTACTCTCTGCATGAGAAGCCCAGTAATAACTTCAGATCAGGGGAAACTTTGGTGTCCTTTCATGGTATGCCAAATTTGTGGCTGAGATGCTGCCTTACTCTGCCAGATGTTAAGATTGGCCCTGGCAATCCCGTCTTCTAAAGACTTTAGAGCATCTTCGGGTTACATTTCTTCTGTACTCATTCAGGCTAATAGATATAAAGTAAATATTGCATGACGAACAGGTATGGAGACGACCTTAATGAATGAAGATGACAGTCCTAAGGAAAAAGGTGTTTCTGAGGAGAATAACAACCATGAATGGGATAACAGCAGAAACACAGAAAAATTAAGGTAACTCCTTTACTTTCTCTATTATTATTTTTGCTTGAAAATGAAACCAAGTTCTCCAGGGAGATCTTTGGGGGATAGGAGAATCCTAGCTCAGTGCATTGTATGCAGAATATTCTAGGGTCAGTCCGTCGCGTGCTCAGTGGAGGGAGCAAATAATGGGAAAACACTGCCCAAGTTCCTAGAAAGCCTCCGTCAGGCACAGTAGTCAGAAGTTGGCTGGAGAGACAAAGAGGCTGACAGTTCTCTGCCTACATGACATCTCTGTAAGCAGGTTCTGCATTTCCTCCCTTTACAGAGGACAGGCAGTATGTTTATGGTCAAAGGCTGCACTTTAAAACAAAATATTAACCTTTTTTGGCAGCAAAGGGACACAGAAGGTGTAAGATTGATGTCATGATGTCAGTGGAAGGGATCAGGACCAGAATTTTTTATTATGTTTATGATTTGTTATCATTAACTTGGTACTGAGAAATTTTAAAGTAAATGGGTATGCTGAAGATTTAAAGTACTTATTTTATTTGTTTTTGTTTTTAAAGAAGAAATCCGACAGAAGAACATACTGAATTTTGGAGCTATAAACATGCATTAAGTTGATTTGTTTTTAAAGTGAGGGGAATTAATTGGAACCACAAAGAGCAGGGAAGAAAGGTTTAATTATTTATCTCTCTAGCTGCAGTCCCAATGAAATGTCCCCCATAGCTTTGAAGTTCAGAAATTAGTTTTAATTGACACCAGTGGATGTTTTTTTCCTATGCTTTATAATTCTTTGGGGAGATTTTCATTGAAATTGTGGCTGGGCTTAATAAAATTCCCACACATTAAGGTCCTGAACTTGCCTTCTGCACTCTTCCTGCATATTCTGTTTAAAAAATTGTGCATGACATGGTTCCTAATTATGGCATTTAGTCTCATGCTTGTTTAGTCTCCAAAATGGTAATAAGAATAGTAGTCATGACTTTCATAAGCCTCCTTCAATCTAGTACACTCAAGATATATTAGACTTCATGCTAGCTGGGGATTTTGGGTATTGAATTAAAAAAGTGGTGAGTGCTGATTGGGTCCTGTAATTGTCCTCTCAACTGTTGTGAATATTCAGGATAAGCTGATGAAAGCAAAAAAGCAAGCCCCATATTGTTGTTGTTGTTAAACTTGTATGCTGCCTGATTCCCAACAATTCTGGGTGACTCACAACAATCTAACCAATAGCGGAGTATTAAATTGTTAGAAGTGACCATTATGTCCCCCCTCCCCGTTCTTGCCTTGCATCACAATTGTTTTTGTAACAGGTTTTTAGAAGTGCAGGTCATTAGCTACAAAGCTGTCTTGAAACTCAGTATGAGAAACTCCAGGGGTTTAATTGCTATGAGACTGGAGAGAGCCATAGACCCTGGAAGTGGGAATTGGTGTGAGCTCTGGTCTGTGTAACCTGCCCTGTTTCCAGCTTTGCAGAGCTCCCATGTTCCCAGTCACAAATGGGAAGCTTACTACAGCTGAGCCTGAAGAAAATCAGCTTAGGTGCCTAACCCTGAGAACAGCATCATATTTTGGAGGAGCACTAGAGCCCCCTGTGGAAGTACACTCTGTCACTGACTTTGGAAAAGTTAAGCGTCATTGTCTCCATTAGCCTGCTGATTTTCATCGGATGGTATTAACCATATTCGGCAACAAATAACCTGACTTTTTTTTTTTGTTCCAGATGGTTTTCAGATAACAATGAAAATATTCCATATTTTCCTAAAGAGTTTGAGGTTGCAAAATATGATGTTCTTGAAAAGGTAACTTTTCTTTGCAAATGTATTTTCTCAGGTTATACAAGTAATTGTTTATGTGAATATGCACACAAAGGTAAACGTATATGCATCATTTTCAATTTATAAATGTATTTCAGATATATTAAACCACTGATTTTGTTTGCCATTAAATTATGTCCCTAGAAATTAGTTACATAATCACCAAAAACAACCAGGTGATGGTATAATAATTGCTCTGTGGATAATTCCAAGAAGCATGATAAACAATCTGCATCTGGGAAACTAGTTAACAAAAAAATGTATGCCTAGTATTCTTTCACATGCAGAAGCTCAGATTGGATATTCACTTATTTTATTTGGATATGATTTAGCATTATACGATCTGCATAAGGCTCCAGCACTCATTTTGTCATCCTCTAATAAATTTCAAGAGAAAACAGGAAACATCTACTTTCTAGTTTAAATTATCTACAAATTGCTATTCTATACAAACAAGGAACTTAGAAGCCAGGATCAGAAATAGAGTTTGTTCTTTCTGGATACAAAAATAAATCACTGAAACCTTTCTTAAATAGTCAGATTTTTAACATTGCATTTAAACAGTAAGATTTTTAACAAAGCAGTCGGAAAAGATGGCCTCCTGTGTAAAGAATTCAAAAGCAAGAGACATTCCAAAAGTTGCCACCAAATATTTTTAATGCAACAGGAGGAGAAAAATAAATATTTGAGGAATAATCACATTGACTGAATTTAACGAATACATTTAATACATCATTAAACTAATTTATTATTTGATTTTTGTCCTGATCCTCTCTGTCTTGGGGTACCATCTCTGTTGAGTTTGATGGGCTGGAAATAGTAGATGGAATGGAGTTAATCACCAGTTTAAAGATATGGCTTTCTTGGTAGATGTAATGTAATTATGGAATTCTCATCCTGCAGCAAGACTGCCCACGTGCCTCCTCTTTAGCATTTCCCTTGGGAGAGTGTCTACAGTCTTCAAATGCACAGAAGCTCTTTTTGAATGCCCAGTTCCCTGCTCCAACCTTAGCCTCAATTCTAATAACCATGTCGCTGCTTGTGTTTGATTGTTTTATATTTGTATTATATTGACTTCATTTATTTGGAATATGTGTATGTTTCCATTCATGTAGTGCATTCCTAACTGCTGTGTAATAAAACACTATAATTCAACAGCACTGACATGAGCTCTCCAATGCCAAGGGTAATAAAAATGTTGATGAAGTTGGTCCATGCTTTATTTTAGAGTTGTGTTGAAGAGCATTCAAGAGAAGAGGCCCTTTGATTAATCAAGTAGAACATATGGATTAAAATTATCAAATAAATGTAATTGGGTTTTTTAGTAGTAATTTTATTAAAAATTACAATTGCAAAGATAAAAACTAATACAAACTAAAAAAATATAAAAATAAAAAATAGAAGGTGCAGAAAAGGAAAAAGAGAAAGAAAAACAGAGAAGAAAGAAAAAATAATATAGTAAAGAAAAAAAAAAAAGACATGGATTCCCCCTTCAACACAACCAGTATAAACAATTTAATAACCTATCATCTTTTCTTAAAATACCACAAATGATTTCTTCTTCCCATATCCCATCTCTTATCTATAAACAAATCCTTAAAGCTTCATAATTTCAATCCTAATGTCAGCAAAAGTCCATTAAGGGTTACCAGAGATAACATATCTATTTTAACCTTGATCAAAGTTGGTTTACTTTATATTCCTTCCTTTTACTTTTAACATTCTTGATCTATAGTCCCTTCAAATAATGACCTAGAACTTGATTTCTTTTCATTTTTCTTTGTCCCACAAAATTCTTCAATGCTTTAACAAGCCTCTTTTGTAAATCCAATATAGGAAAATTATCCATGTCATTCTCTTGGTTTGTTATCTGTATATTCCTTTTAACTATTAAGACATCAGCCAGTTTCTTTTGTATGTCCAGTGTAGCATCTTTTTCCATATAATTCTTATAGCCTGTCATTTTTAAATTCACTTTCAGATCAGTCTCAGTCTTTTCAGGTAAAACGTGTTCCTCTTT